AACGATATAAAGTGTATCTTTAGTCAGTTATACAAACCACCAACAATTGTTGCATACAATAAAAAGTACATCTTTAGTTAGTTATACAAACCACCAACTATTGTTGCATACGATAAAAAGTGTATATTCAGTTAGTTATACAAACCACCAACTATTGTTGCATGCGATAAAAAGTGTTTTTAGTTAGTTATACAAACCACCAACTATTGTTGCATACGATAAAAAGTTTATTTTTAGTTAGTTATACAAACCACCAACTATTGTGGCATACGATAAAAAGTGTATCTTCAGTTAGTTATACAAACCACCAACTATTGTTGCATACGATAAAATGTGTATTTTTAGTTAGTATACAAAATACCAACTATTGTTGCATACGATAAAATGTGTATTTTAGTTAGCATACAAAACACTAACTATTGTTGCATACGATAAAAAAGTGTGTTTTTAGTTATACAAACCACCAACTATTGTTGCATACGATAAAATGTGTATTTTTAGTTAGTATACAAAACACCAACTATTGTTGCATACGATAAAAAAGTGTGTTTTTAGTCATACAAAGTTATCAAGTATGTCATTTGTCATAAAATAAGAAAATGTGTAAATAGATGTTCTGGTTTTTAGTATTTTGTAGCATCTTTAATGTGACAAACAATAAGTACATCAAAAATGTAAACAATTGAATTAATAGGACCTTATGTGTATAGTAAGAGTATCTTTATAAGATCTTGTAAAGTTCTATGGTTTTCCTGTGAAAATTCTAAACTTTTTAAGAAGTATTAAGTTTAACTCTTTTCATGTGTAAACAAATAGTCCTTAAGAGATTCCAAGTAAATCATAAAACGACCCATAGCTGCTAAAAAGGTGTTAATTACAAAAACAATACTTTACTTGCAAAATATTATTTACTTTTACAGTTTAAAGGCCAATGAACTACACATTATGATAAACTTATACCATTTACTTAGTGTAAAAAGTATATTATTATGCCTGAAAAATGACCAACATTTAATATTTGGAGAAGAATGGTGTACTTTAGTTCTCGAAACATACAGAAACAAACCCTATGGATAAATTGATACATTCTTAACAATTGAAATGGTGTTTGGAAAGGAATCTTACTCACAGTTCATGTCTACGGTGACAGTCGAAATCAGAGGTTGAGAAATGTTATTGTTCTTGGCTTGACAACTCAAGGCAGCCATTAAATCATGCCTTTGGAGAGATCCTATGCTTAATTCGTTTATTACTTTTCGATCATTCGTTACTTGCATGTAAGTGTCGTCCAATAAAACAGACTCTCTCCACCAAGTCAGAGATGGCGAAGGATTTCCTGGAGTATACAAAGAAAATAATGTGTGGTGGTTAAGGTTAAAACATTGCTGAAACACACGACATCATTAAGTTAGGTATTTGTTTATTTTTACTTAAAAAGCTTCACTGTGATATTTTTTACCAGGACTTAGTAAACATTATTTTATTCTGTGTTTTTAGGAAGTTTGATTATGATTGAGAACCTTAGTAAACATTATATTTTTCGTAACGGAACAAGCTGACGAACAAATATTTGTTGAAGGATTTCTTCCTTTCGTGTTAGACAATTCAAGATAATCAATACAAAAATGTGCAAATACTACTTCCTCAGTAACTAAACCAAATAATTTATTACTTTATAAACGCAATTTTGTTAACTTTCGAAAATATTTTTCGTTTTCATATACAATAAGTAACTTAAATATTGATATCTACATTGAAGTTAGTTCCCTTATCAACTGTATTCAAGAAAAATATCATGACTTGCCTCGAGATTAATAGAAGAATACCCAACTCTCACGTTGAATGTATATATTAATACTGTAAGTCTACTATTCAAGTCGTTTAATACTTATAGAGTTGCATGCATTTCTAATTGTTTAAAGTTATTTATATTTAAAACGAAGATTAGTTTTAGGGGCATATGAACACAACTCCACAACCAACTCCAATCCTGTCATTCCACAAGAAGTTTCAACAGTATTATTTTGAACACGTGTTTTAATTGTTCTATTTAACGCAAGTTGAAAAATACGTGCAACATTTTTTTTGCACGTATGAGAACCGCTTTATTCTATGAATTATTGTCACTAGTATCGAATGCATTATAAAAAAGTGACTCCTACTTGTTAACCAATTTACAAATACTTCAAACAACACTACCTCCTTCCGCTTCACATCGAAGGACTAGAGAAGCACCTTCATTGTACGGTCCAATCAGACTTCTTAACACGTGCCCGTTCTCGTTGCTGATTATAGGTTTCCCTGGAAGAACTGAAAAGCATAAACGTTCTAATTGTTTTCTTAATTTAAAACTTAATTTAACTTCATCAGTTATTTTCATTACTTGCACGTGACATTCCGAGAAACATCGTTCTGGATCTATTAAACAAAATAAACAGCAATTTTTTCTATAAAAGGTTTTGGCAATGTTAATGATATCTCATTATTACGAAATATAAAATATGTTTTTGGGAAAATAAATTTATTCTCCCTAAGCATGATAATGAAAAACGTTTGATGAATCAATACGACATCTGTTTGTGAAGTATCATTTACTACGTCACGAAGGTGCGGTGAGTAATTTTAAATGCTTCATCAACAATGTTTGTGAAGTATCATTTACTACGTCACGAAGTTGCCGAAAGTAATTTTAAATGCTTCATCAACAATGTTTGTGAAGTATCATTTACTACGTCACGAAGTTGCGGAAAGTAATTTTAAATGCTTCACCAACAATGTTTGTGAAGTATCATTTACTACGTCACGAAATTGCGGAAAGTAAGTTTAAATGCTTCATCAACAACGTTTGTGAAGTATCATTTACTACGTCACGAAGTTGCCGAAAATAATTTTAAATGCTTCATCAACAAATTTTAGTTTCTGAATGATCTGTTTTAACATAAAATTAGTGGTATGTGATCTATGAATAATAAAATGGTTGGGAACGTATGATACTGTTGTCTTTTAAGCACCTTATCCTGCAAAACAAATATATCTGATGCAATGTATTTTATTCTGTTTGATGTTGTTTTTTCAATGCGGAGCTGGAAAACCCCAACCAAACCGTAATATTCAGCGTCGTGATATATATATATAAACTTAGAGGTTTTTTTTTTTATTTCTAATAGTTGTATTTGAGCAATATGATTTATGATAATCATTGTCAATGTCTTTCAGTGTTAGCTTCTAAGTGCAAAAAAAGAAAAACACGAAATTTGAAATCCTATTTTTCAGTAAAATTTAGTGTTACTTGTAACAAAATTACAGATAAGAAAATTAAGCAAACATTATCGAAACTTGTTCCATTTACGGTTTCAACTTTCGTAACACATTATTCATGTGGTTTAATCTTGAATATTTTACTTTTGAAAATTTGTTTCTTTGTTTTTGTTTGGAATTAAGCACAAAGCTACACGATGGGCTATCTGTGCTCTGCCCACCACGGGTATCGAAACCCGGTTTCTAGCGTTGTAAGCCCGAATACATACCGCTGTGCCACTGGGGGGGTGGCACTTTTGAAAATAACTTTACATATTATTTCTCTTCTGCAATCAAAAAGTCACATCCGAAACGTATTACTTATGTGTGATGTATACATTTATATACGATATTATATAGTGAGTGACAAGCGCTAATGTTGTGTATAATTCAATTCATTAGAAACTTAAAATGGTTTCAACTTCTGTGACTAACAACTGTGCTGATTTTCCTGCTGATACACTTAATCCCATATTTTACTGATCGAATTAAACTTTATATTTTTATTTTGTTATCTGTTTATACCTTGACTTCAGTAGTTCACTTTTATTTTCCAACTGAATATTGATTTATACCTTGTAATTAAATAGATATCTCCACTTTTGTTTACTGATTTATACCTTGTAATTAAATAGATATATCGACTTTTGTTTACTGATTTATACCTTGTAATTAAATAGATATCTCCACTTTTGTTCTCTCCTACATTATGTACTCTCCTACATAGTAGATCTACAATTACTCTCTACGAGCCCGTCTTTCGTAAGGACAAATATAACTCAAATCTGACTGTATGTAATAAGTATGTGGGTACAAAGATAAACAAAAAGCTTGGATCGACAGTAATTTCATGGATCTCCAACCAAACATGTGCCTAAACATAAAGATTTGCTTCCTACAACGTTTTTTTTTTTTTTAGTGATACGTTTATGTTTTAGGAGAAGTTGCATGTGAAATGGAAGATATTTTGGTTATTGATCCGAAAGTCCTGCACTGATACTTATAAACCTAAACTTTATCACTCTCCTTATGATAAAAACATGATATTGTTTGGTTATATAACAAGTATCTTATTTCAATAAGTAACGTAATATTTTATGATACTTATAAACCTAAACTTTCTCTCTCTCCTTATGATAAAAACATGATATTGTTTGGTTATATAACAAGTATCTTATTTCAATAAGTAACGTAATATTTTATGATACTTATAAACCTAAACTTTATCTCTCTCCTTATGATAAAAACATGATATTGTTTGGTTATATAACAAGTATCTTATTTCAATAAGTAACGTAATATTTTACAGTAAATAACTGTATCTGAATAAAAAGGACTTTGTGTATGCGAAGTGTTTACAACTGTAATTTTTCTATCTCTCAGATAAATATTTCAAATAAAGTTTAGTATTTTTCCAACAAATGTGTGAGTTAAATAATAATAATTATAATAAAATCAGAATAAATCGGATATTTATTAGAAATAGTTTTCCCTTCACAGCACGGTAAGACAATTTAAATTGAAATATATGTTTTTTTTTCTTTACCCATAAAATCACCATTTCTCTGGAGTTGAATTGTCCCTCACTGTTACCATTTTGGGGACTTAAAACTCTTTCTTGCAACAAAATATTAGCAAAATACACAAAAGTAATTTGAGTTTTTTCTCTTTTAAAAAATTAAATATATATTTTATATCTCGTAAGCTGTTAATCAAACACAAAATACATGCCATATATATAAGATTCGTAATAAAATTATTGAAAACTCGGCTCTATTGCGCCAGATTTATACGTCAAAGTAACACATCAAACTAACGAATGACATTAGAATGTTTAGGCAATCAACGTTCTAACGCTTCTGAGGCCACTTTATAGCACAACTAAGACGCACATTAGAATTGTAAATTTAAAGGAATGGCGAAAGCTTTATGTGAAATCAAACTCTCTTTTTTTTCATTAAAACGTAAAACTACCTTATAAATGTTGTGTAAATTAAATATTTTCACTTGCATGAGTATCAAACTGAGAAATATCAACTTTTTCAATCACAAAAGGACAAAATCTTGTTCTTTTCTGAAACCTACGTTTCCTAACCTTATTAAGGGTAAAAGCAGAAGAAAGACGTGAAGCTAACAATAGCGTTTCAAAAACAATCTCGAAGTAAACGTGCCTTTACTTTCACATGAGAAAGCTCTGAAGTTCTAGTAGTAGCTAGTTTAAAATATTTTCAAAATACGACGCCATTTACCAAAGACGCATGCGGTAATCTATGAAACTTTATTCAAAGAAAGAGAGAAATATTGTACTCTTGTGATGTTTCCTTTGCTGGTGACAGAAATATGCTGGGAATTTGTTTTAGTTTATAATAATGAAATAAATGACTTCATCTATGGAATACAGATATACGTTCACTGTTACTTACTTAACCTACAACAGATATACGTTCACTGTTACTGACTTAACCTACAACAGATATACGTTCACTGTTACTTACTTAACCTACAACAGATATACGTTCACTGTTACTTACTTAACCTACAACAGATATACGTTCACTGTTACTTACTTAACCTACAACAGATATACGTT